TGCTCTGCCACACTTTCTGCAATGACACTTCTGTACAGAACCAAACAATGGATATTTACATCGGCCTCTTGGAACCACAGCTCTTCCAGTTGGAGAGGAAAGTTCCACTTCCTCGGAGTTTTTGGTGCTTGCGGGTCCCTCGCTGCCACCTCTATTGCTGTCAGAAGATCCCACTCTTTCTCCTCAAGCCTGAACTAGAGAACTTACCCTGGTGTTCTTTCTACCAGTGTCAATGCTCATTTCCAGGATCTCTCTCCAGGCTGAGGAATCAGAGGGGGAGAAAAAGCTAAAATCATCACTGTTTACATGGTACATCAAATTCTGTTCTTCTTGCTCAATATCAAGTCTTCCAGTTCATGAACACTGTATATCTCTCCATTTATTTAGATCTTATTTTTCTCAGCACTGTTTGTACTTTCCATATACAAGTCTTGCACATATTTGTTAAATTTATCCCTAAGTTATTCATGTTTTTTTTATGTTGTTGTAATTGGTATTTTTTAAAATTCATGTTCCAATTGTTCACCGCCAGCATATAGAAATGCAATTGATTATTTATATTGACGTTATGCACTGCAACCTTGCCTAATTCACTTATTAGTGCTAGTAGCTTTTTTATAGATGCCTTAGGATTTTCTCCATAGATGATTATGTGATTTGTGAATAATGATAGTTTTACTTTTCCCTTTCCAATCTGTGTGCTTTTTATTTTATTTTATTTTATTTTGTTTTATTTTATTTCCTTATTGCGTTGGCTAGGATCATCAGTAAAATGTTCAATAGAAGTGAGAGAATGGACATCTTTGCCTTGTTCTCAGTAGTAGGAGAAAAGCATTCAGTCTTTTATTATTATGCTTTGGGTATATTTTTTTATAGGTGCCTTTATTACTCTGAGGAAATTCCTTTCTACTTATAATTTATTGAGAATTTTTATCGTGAATGGGTGTTGAATTTTGTCAAAATTTTTTTCTATATTTATTGAAATGATCATATTTTTTTTCTTTTTTTGTTAATGTGGTGAATTGCATTGATTGATTTTCAACTTTTAAACCAACCTTGCATCTTAGGATAACCCCGCTCTGTCCTGATCTATGATCCTTTTTATAAGTTGTGGGGTTTTGGTAAAGACTTTTACCTCTGATGGTAAGGGATATTGTTCTTAACTTTTTCTTTTCGTGGATTGTCTTTGGTTTTGGTTGAGATAATGGTGGCCTCATTAAATGAGATAGTCAGTGTTCCCCCTCCTTTCTTTCCTGAGTTTGGGTAGGATTGCCTATAAAGTTGTTGGGATCTGTAGGGGGTTTTTTTGTGACAAAGTTTTAAATTATGAATTAATATTTTTAATAGATATAGGGCTAGAGTTTTGATTTCTTTTTGCTTCCATTTGGTAACATTTTTTTCAAGGGAGTTGTCCATTTTATCTAAATTGTCATAATTATTCATAGAGTGTTATTTGTAATATTCTTTTATTATCCATTTAATGTTATTTTAATGTCTGCAGGCCTTGCAGTGTCTTTCTTTCATTTTTTTCATATTGATAACTTTTGCTTCTCTTTTTTCTTTTTTTTAACCAAGTTATCACATTTTTATTTTTTATCTTCCAGTACTTGTGTACAAGCATACATTTTTTTACAAAGTTGATGTAATAGCATATATAAAATTATGCATTTCTCCATCTGAGATTATATTTTATATTTTTTACTATGACTATGTGTTTATTTAATCTTTTTTTAAAAAACTGTTTTATTGAGGTATGATTGACATACAAAAAGCTGTACATATTTCATGTATACAACTTGATGAGTTTGGAGATAAGTGTATGCCTGTAGAATTGTTACCACAATCAATGCTATAAACATATCCATCACCTCCAAAAGTTTCTTCCCATCCTTTTTTTTTTGAGGAACATTAGTCCTGAGCTAACATCTGCCCCCCACCCTCCTCTTTTTGCTGAGGAAGACTGGCCCTGAGCTAACATCTGTGCCCATCTTCCTCTACTTTATATGTGGGACTCCTGCCACAGCATGGCTTGACAAGCTGTGCACAGGTTCGCACCTGGGATCCGAACCAGCGAACCCCAGGCCACCAAAGCGGAACATGCAAACTTAACCGCTGCACCACTGGGCTGGCCCCTTCCCATTCTTTTTATTTATTTTTATTTTCATTTTTTGTGAAAAGAACATTTAACATAAGATCTATCCTCTTAGCAAATTTTTAAGTATACAATATAGTATTGTTAACCATAGGCACTGTGCTGTACACTAGATCTCTAGGACTTGATCATCTTGCATAACTGAAACTTTGCACTCTTTGACCAAGACCTCCCTGTTTCCTCCTCCCCTCTGCCCGTGGTAACCACCATTCAAGGAACCAATGTTGGTGAGAATATAAATTGGTGCAGTCAACATGGAAAACAGTATACAAGTTCCACAAAAAATTAAAAATAGAACTACCATATGATCTGGCAGACCCACTTCTGGATATATGTCCAAATGAATTGAAATCAGGATCTCAAAGAGTTGTCTGCATTCCCATGTTCAGTGCAGATTATTCAAAGACATGGGATCAACCTAAATACCTGTCAAGGGACGGATGGATTAGGAAAATGTGTTATTAACATTCAATGGAATATTGATCAGCCTTTAAAAAAAAAGGAAATCCTGCCATTTACAACAACATGGATGAACCTGGAGGGCATTATACTCAGTGAAGGACGCCAGACATAGAAGGACGCCACTTACATGAGGAATCTAAAATAATCAAACTCCCTTTTTCTTCTTTAATCTAGCTAGAAGTTTATCAGTTTTGTTAATCTTTTCAAAGAGCTAGCTCTTTGTTTCATTGAGTTTTCTCTATTGCTTTCCTATTTTATATTGCATTGAGTTCCACTCTTATCTATTATTCCCTTCGTTCTTCTTACCTTGGGTTTAATTTGTTCTTTTCTCTATCTTCTTAAGATGGAAGCTCTTATCATTGATATTAAACTTTGTCTTCTTATATAAGCATATAAAGCTATAAAATCTTCTAAGAGGAACATTTACTTAAAAGCACATTTTAACGTCTCTGAAATCAAGATGCATCTTACACTCAATAACATCTTAGAGTTATAACTGTCATCATTTTTTCTTTCTTAGTGATATACACAGGAATAATGCATCTTACAATCATTGATGTCCCAGACCCAATGAAAAGCAGTATTATACAATTCTTTTGAACTTTGCTTATCTAATAATTACTTAGTAAAGATCCTGACATAATGATGCTTGTGAGTCATAGCTGCTCTCCCTTTACCATTGTTTACACTTTGTTTATAGCGTGATTATCAGTCTTTTATTTTTTTATGCATTATCCTCAAAATCGAGGGTTCTGTGAGAGCTCCCTTATGATCCTCTGAAGTCTCTAGCAGAATACTCTGCATACGGAGTACACAATGATTGTAGTAAATAAAGGACAATAAAGCCTTAATTGCAGAGTATAGAATTAAACGTAGCCCCAAAACTAAGCCCTCTGAGTCCCTAATTAACATGTACATCAAAAAACTGCAAGTATATACATGTTGTTAGATATCTCCTACCTTCAGTGAATTAGTGGTGCACAGTGATGCACTTTTCTACTTAAAACAGGCCTCTTTTTAATTCATCTCAGATCTTTTCCTAGCAATTGCTGCATTTTTTGTTTGTTTGGACATAGATTACCTTTGAATTGTTTCCTACTCTGAATTAAATATGCAAGTATTTCTACTGTACGTACACCTCCATTTGTCTATTAACTGATTTATCTTACCCAATATGTGTTTCCTTTAGATACTTTATCTCTGGGTTTGTATTTTCTTTAACTGAATGAAATAGAGCATAAAATTATTTCTTTTAATCTCTTCAGCTCCTTAAAACCCTGTTGTTTTCACCTGCTTACACGGCTCTCTGGCAAGGCAAGATTCCGGTCCAGTGTTCTATGAGGCTTTAATCCTTGTGCAGTCTACTCCTGCCCTTCTAGGCCTAGCATTTCAGCAGATGAAGTGGTTTTTTTTTTGTTCATCTTTTCTTTGTTTTTCCTCATTCCAGAGGAGTTGTATCACGTACAGATTTAACTCAGACACTGACTTTAGAACTCAACTCTAAGGGAAAAAGTGAGTTTACTGTACTCTTAGCTGCCTGCAGCACTGCTGAAGAGAAGAGCCCAGGGCTCCATTCTCACAGTGAATAATCATCTCTCAGCGAACTTGCCTTCTTCCCTGCTCAGAAAGCCCAGCTTCCATGGACACCACTCTTTGGTATAGGAAGTCAATGTTTATGCTTATCAATTAGAACACTTTTTCCTTGGAGTAACAGAATGCTCATCTAAAGGTGATTTTAACAATGAGGATTTATTTGTCTCATTTAATGAGGATTCAAAGTGAAGCAATCCTAGAGATGGTGGAGTAGTTCCGTGATTTCAGGCTTCTGGTCTTCCCCTTAGAATTTCAATGTGGCTGCACTGCTCTAAGCATCAAATCCCCATACAACATCTGTCCTAGAGCTGCTTTTCCTGTTTTGTATGTGTGTCTCTCTCATCAAGGAGGAAAAACTTTCCCATTAATCCCTCATGTACCTCCTCATATATCTCATTGTCCAGGTTGTGTCACCTCACGCTCCAGCTGCACAGGAGTCTGGGAGAGCAAGTATTTAGAACATGCAGACTCTATAGTGGGAGGTAGGCTCTGACAGCAAGGAAGGCGAAGGAAGAGAATGGCTGTTGGCTGGGCATTCAACAGTATCTGCATGCGTGTGTGTGTTGCCTATGTGAGTAAGAGAGAGCGAGCGAAATCTAGATTGGCTTTTGTGTGGATAGATGCTCTTGCTCCCGTAGGAAGTTGTCCATGGACCCATAGCAGAACTTTGGATGACCCGCCACAGTGGAGGAGGAGGATGGCATTTGGGCTTAAATTGCCTTTGCTTCCTATGACACAATTAGAGCTTGATATTTTGTTTTAGTTACTTGGAATCTTGGTTTCCTGATTTCAGGTTGAGCCCAGAAATCTTCCTGAAACGCCCAGTGGTTGAAGGAAATCGGTGGAGGTTGGACTACGTACTTAAACGAAAAGCAGTATGTACTTTCCAAAGAAATGCTGATATGATTTTTTAAATGTTTATTGCCTCTGAAGTGACTTTTCTTTTTCAAAGCCCTTCATACATACTCATAACATTTTTCTTTAGAGTTTGACAAGAACTAGAATACGTACTGTTTTCAAGTTCATTTGATTCCGATTTTTTTCCTGTTACTCTTGAGTACATAAATATTTTAGCCTAACTCACAGCATGGACTATATTAGCAACTCTCATTTTTGTTCCTTAATCAGTTATGGGCAGTAAGTTTTATAGGAAAAAATTGTAATAAAATTTCATCATTGAATAATAAATGATGAAATGAAACATAGCATTTCATTTTATTCATTATTCTGTCATTTGAGCAAAAGACAAAGTCATCTGTAGAATGATTTCAGTCAGATGGGGCCAAGCTGATGTGGCAGAATATCAAAGAGGAGGGACATTAAGAATTGGTGGTGTTTGGTTCCAGTTTGGGGACAGTTTAGGGTAATAATGTGAAATTGTTTCGTGGGCAGTTGACCCTGTAGATTCTAGGTGAGCATTGAGTGTGTTCTTTTTATTATAAAAAGTAGATAACTGTAGCAATACAGGTTCACTAACAACTACTTTACATTCATATTTCTAACAAAATTATTTTTATATAGTTGGCTCTCAACCAAGTTAAATTAGGTTGAATTAGAATAGATCTGAATTTGTTATTAACCATGTCCAAATTAGGGAGTGCTATCCTTTTTACTATTATTTGAAACTGCCTTCATCTTTTTTATTCTATCATTAAACACTCTAGCAGAATTTGTAGATCCTAAGTAATTGGGGGTGGGACTTTTCTATTTCTCACAGGCCATCAGTCATTTTTTCTTTTCCATCCTCAGCATTCTTAACCCTTTTCCCCCCTCACCTGTACCCTCATTTCAATGTCTTTTCCCCATCCCTTCACTTTAGGATTTTCACAGATATCCATAGATGTAGTCAGACCTTACTGCTAGTATTGAAGGCAAAAGAAGTTGATCATCTTTATTTCAGACACTTGTCGTGCCAAACAGTATCATTTTTGTGGCTAGTCTAATTTGTTGTCTCAACAGAATTCCATTCACAAAATTGGAAATTATGGGCCTGAAAAGCATTATTTGCATATTCATTGAATAATTCAGCACATAGTTACCCGACGTCTCCTATGAGCTGGGTACTACGCTAATTACTGAAGATGCCATGTGTATAAATAGGATTCCATCCCTGCCCGTGGAGAGCTTTCTGAAGGACTCACATCCTGGGCTCAGTCCTAGCCTTACAAACTGCTTTCTAGGTATTGAATGGGTTATGACTTTCTCCTTGTTTCTCTCTGTGAAATGTCACTGTCCTCACTTCTCAAGATTCCAGTTTAGTAAGGTTTTCCAGCCTTGCTTAGCAATCATCAGTCATAATAGTAAATCCTCTTCTCGTGGTACTTATCCGATACTTTACTGTTTTAGGTTTCAATCAACATGTATTTGTTGAATATCTACTATTTATAGGGCACTTGGCTAATAAAATGGGGATGTAGATGAATAAAAGACATTATTCTTGACCTATAGAAGCTTAAAAATCTACACAAGTCAGAGCCAACCCCCTGGGCGAGTGGTTAAAGTTCCGTGTGCTCTGCTTCTGTGGCCCAAGTTCATGGGGTCAGATCACAGGTGTGCATCTACTCCACTCATCAGCTATGCTGTGGAGGCGTCCCACATACAAAATAGAGGAAGATTGGCATGGATGTTAGCTCAGGGCTAATCTTCCTCACCAAAAACACCCACAAAAACAACCTACACAAGTCAACTGGGTCCAGAGACAAATCTGGATATAGCTTGAAAGGCAGGAGGGAAGGCACTGCGTAGGTCTGGTAGGGAAGCCTCCCAGCATGAGGAATTTAGGGCATTTAGGATGGGCAAAAGTTTAAAAAGAAGTTTCTAGGTGTAGGAAATGTGGTAGGGAGACGTACTGGAAGCAGGAATTTGGAAAGCTTTGTCAGTCACAGGATGGTGACAAGGTTGATTACCCCCGGGTTCAGCAGAGGAAGGATGGGGATCAGGCTGGAAAGGCAGGCTGCTGCTGGGGTGGGGAGGCTTTGAGAGCCAAGACAGGGGTTTGACTTTATGGAAGACAGTGGGGAAGACTCTGGGGGAGGGGGCTCGGTGGAGGAGGGATGGTCTGATCCAAATGGTGTGTTGGGAAGGAGAATCTGGTAGTGGGAGGAAGTAGGGAGAATTCAGATTTGGAGAGCTCAATTTTAGCTCCCTTGAGTATGAGGTGTCTACAGGACACCTAAGAAAACTCGAGAAAACTGGTTAATGCCAGGGCTCAGGAGGAAGATCCTGCAGGCCCTCCCTGTACCCCATGTGAGCTGCACGTGCTTGTTTGTTCCCCTCAGCGTCCCTGTCCAACTGCCTTTTTGAGCACTAGTGTGGCTTCTCTTTGCTTTTGTGGCCCAGGAACCCTGGTGAGGTCCCAGGTGAACACCATGGCACTTCGTTTCAATTTCATCCACTTCCTGAAACTTGTAATTTTTAAATTGCACATAATGATTTTTTAAAAATTTCCTAAGGAAATAGTAATACTATTAAATATTAATTTCTCAGTGGTACATTTAGCAGAATTGCTCCTCCCTAATCTTGCTACACCATATTATTATTTTGGTCATAAATTTTTAACACCCGGATCATTCCAAATCGACATTTCATATACTCATAAACACTGCTTCGCATAAATAATTTAGTTTCTGAAAGCCACTAGCTTCACAAAGTACTGGATTGAAAATAACATTTATTCTTGCATTAATGGGTCCCAGAGGTCCACAAGGGTGATTACAATGAATGATTTTTTTCTTCTATCTGATTATGTAGATTTGGGGGGAGGAATTTAGTGTCTCTGCCCCATAGCCAAGATATAGGCAAACATCTCTTAGGGAAAAAGTACAATATTTTGTTTCTCTAGTAATAACCAAGTTGATATTTTCCTGTTTCTTCGGCCTTCTGATGTGCAGTGCCATCATTTAAAACAATGTAAGCCAAACTTGAGAGGCAGACTGTTTATAATTCAAATGAGCATCCCAGGTTTTCCACAGTTCTGCATTTACTTCACTAAGAGGTGAGATAAATTGCATCATAGTTGTGGTAACTGTATCCTGTACCCAATTTGTATATACCCACCGTAGAAATGGGTGATATTTCTGATGAGACTTGCACCAAAGGAATCATCCAGTGCAGCCACCTGGAGACTTACAGGAAAAGGTTTAGGTTCTCAGGGGGAGGTTTTGTCATCAGGTTAGTTTCTTTCTGTCCTGGACCACAAGGCACATTCTAGAGTTGCAGTCAGTGACCAAGAGGAGGGAAAGACGTCCTGGTTTGTCAAACAAGGTGAACCATCACATCTTCATGCAGAAGAATCAAATGGATTCTTATCAAAGTAGTGGGCTAGAAGGGCATGGTGGGGAAGAGGAGAGAGGGTCTTCGAACTTGAACACTGTGCTTTAAACAAAACTGGTAAAAAAAAAAAAGGGGAGGGCATAAGCATTTGTGCTCTTACATCTCAATGCTGCCTGCTTTTAAATGGTGGGGATATGGTTTCTTTTTGTCCTTAACTTTTCATTTTCTTAAAAGATTACACCCCCTGGGGAAGTCCTTGACAAATGGTAAAATTAATGATTATCCTGGGGTTGTGTAAACTAAACTACCCTGAGGCAGTGGACAGACTTGGCTGCCTTTAGAAAATGTTTTGGTCATAGTACTTTGAACAATCAAAGAAAAAGCTAACTCAGAAACAAACTATAAAACATCTATAAAAATTTTTGTTTTCGTTGTTTTCACATGTATTTTGCATATGTAAAGCTCCTAAAAATTCCTGCTGTTTATAGTATTGTGTCTGCTCTACTTGATTAAAAAGTAAGTAGAAAAGAGGACGGAACTTTCATCTTTTTGAAATTATGGGATTCAGGTTTCATGAAGTGTATTCTCTGGAACCTTCGGGTTGGTTGAGGTCAGCAGAGATAAGAAACAAGGCATTGCGCAGTCTGCTCTTGGCCATTCATTTTCCTACTTCCCCTATTAATAATCTTCTTTTTCCTCTCTAAGGAGAAGGTAATTTCCCCTTCCCCCTACTAAAAGGTATTGGTAAAATATTAGATGCCTCAAAAGCGTATTTTTTAAATTACAGAATTAACACCCTTCCTTTTTTTCCCCCTAATTTGGCTTTTCTTTGGCACAAGTATTTCCCACATTTTGTATAAGTCTGCACTATTATGACGTGGCAAATGCCTTCATTCCCAAGGAACATTTTTTCCTTTGCCCTTTATTGTTCAGAGTTTATGATGGTGTTGTATACCTTGACGAAAAGAAGAGATACTTATTGCTTTATTGTCACAGAAATCTTGTCTCTAATTAACTGTTTATTGTGATATGATGTAAGTAAATAATTGTAAACCAGACTACATAAAAATGAATTTTTTTATTTAATTACTTCCTTATTAGTCATTTGTCTTTAAGCAAAAAGACTTAAAAGTCTCAACTTCCTTTAGACTTTATTTATTTCAATGAGAAAAGACACAGTATGGAAGAAAATGTCAGGTGTTAATAAATGGAGGGTAATTATGTAATCCGTTAGCATTAACATCTCTATTATTTCAAAAATCCATTAGTTATGCAGGTAAATGGAAAATTGCAAGATTTAGGCCAGTTCCTAATTTGCAACTACTGTCCTTCATGAGTAATAACCTCATAAGCCTAAGAAGCAGGATTTCATCCATTTGATGCAAATGAACTATGATGAAAGATATCCAGCATGATGTTCTATAATTTAGGTTGAAATTTTGGGTTTTAAACTTTATATCATATCTTTTAACGGGAGGCTGTTTTTTGTAACTATTATTCAGTGCTGAATCCTAAAATCTTCAAACAGCAAAGTAAATCTGAACAATAGAGGAGAAAAATAAAATAATGTCCTTGCTTTCATTTAGAGCGTCAGTCCGTGGTTCATTGCAGAGCACTCACTGACAGGCCATTAGAAATTAACCTGTTCACTTCTTGCCTACACTTTCACATCTTTATTTCTTTACTCAAGTCTGTCCTTATGTACTTGATTGCAATAAAAACTGCATAATTACAATAAATAATAAGCAAGTTCCAAAGGCAGCTGTTAAACAGAGACATATGTATTTTTTATCCTATTTTTTTCAGAACAAGAATGGATCTTCTCCTAGTACTCAGATTTCCTTAATACAGCCCAGAATGTCTACCTAATGTGTCCTTCCAAAAATGTATACACTTTTCAGATATTACTAACACCAAGAAAGATAGAGTATTAGTATTTTGAAGTGATGTGTTATTATAAGGATGTAGGAGCCAAAACATGCTTCTTAGTAAGAGCAGAGCAATATTGGGGAATTGTGTATGTGTTTGGTTTAGTCTAAGGTTTTATGTCCTGCAACCTACAAATATTAACTCTTATGTTATTTCACATTTTTTAGCATTGCAAAAATAATCAGTTCTTATAAATTAGAGGTGTTCAACCCAGTAGGGCTTCTTAAATTTGTGACCCAAATTTCCTTTATGAACAATGCCTAATTGCCATGGACTGTTAATTTAAACTGTAACTAAATTATTCTTTGTCACTATAGTTTATTAGATATGCCTGCATCTCTAATACTCTGTAAAGTGTTGTGGAAAAATTCTTCTCTTTTATCTCTAGGATATTAAATGGCTAGGTGTGGCTATATTATCCAGTGTATATGCAATATTTTTCAGAATGCTTTCAGAGTTTCTGGGTGTAGAGAATACAAATTAAAATGTTACAAATTGCACAGGAATACTGAGGATGCAAACCTAAAAAGTAAAAAAACGATGTAAGAAGTGGGGGTAAGTAAGATGGAGTTTCCTGGCGGGATACATTCTGAACTGTATTTGGAGGAGGAACCCTATGAGTGGACAAGGAGAAGGGGAGGGGCATCCAGGTGTGGGGCAATTTAGCGCAGCCTAAAACCTTGTCACCACTCAGAACCAGAAGAGAAAATGCTAATACTTTTTTATACTCCCAGCCATTGGACATTGTCTTTTTGATGGTTAATATTAATTTTAAAACGTGATTTGTAGAGCATGTTAATGTTTACCAGGCACTTTTGATTTAATTTGACCCTCACAAAGGCCTTGTCTGTTTTCTTTAAGTTCAAGGTCTAAGGCTGGATAAATGTTAATTTGTGCACTTCTGCTAAAACTCGGGGATTTTAGAATGTTAGCGAGGCTGACTTCTGAAGAACTCATTTCACTAGTGAAACTGACATTAATGTTTTAATCATGTGTTAAGAGTATGAACCAACACATTCATCTTTGAAGATGAAGAAATATTTTTTCCATTCAAATAATTTTTTTAAGTAAAAATTTTTATGAAAATATCCCTGAAATATTTAAGGGATATTTAGTATAATTTATTGCATCAGAGTTTTTTTTAATCACTGCTGTTTCAACTAATTGCAGTGATAATAAAAACAAACAAAAAACACTAATCCTATAACACAGATCAGGTCCAAACTTTCCTCAATGACAAGTGTTTGGAAATGTTCAAAGGTGTAAGACTATCAGCCACTTTTAGCAGTTGAGGTTACAATGTCAACCTTCTAGCTGTAAGTAGTCAAATTTTGACACTCTCTCTTGGAATGACAAGTTGTAGGAATGGAAGGGAGATAAACTTTTATTTTTGATATTTGTGTCTTAATGTACACTTATATTTCACCTCTTTGTATTGTATTTTTCATTAAATATTTCACTATACTTGTTTCTTGAAGAAAGTTTAGAGAGTTCAATTGCACAGAAAGAAGAAAAAGAAAATCATAACCTCCCTCCAGACATTCTCATTCCTCCCTGTGTTTTCTCTCGTGACAGCAACAGGGGGTGAGGATCTTCGTAATGCTCTATAAGGAGGTGGAACTTGCTCTTGGGATCAATAGTGAATACAGCAAGAGGACGTTAATGCGTCTACACCCCAACATAAAGGTATTCAGGTTCATCTTGCTGAACAATGCTTCTTTTTTATTATTCTCTAATTTTTCAGATATGTTTTGCTCTGAGCACTGGTAATCTGTAGAATTCCCTAATGTATATTTTGAATAAATAGCATTGTGTCCTTCTGAGAAATAGAACAAAATGCTATATGGAGTGTTGATGGAGTCAGCAGAGTTCACATTTCTGCTTCTCTTACGCTGATAATTTAGCCAAGAACACACTTCCTAGAATTGTTTTAATATTCAAGACCCCTGTCAAGTTCCCATGCTCCTCTTTAGGATTGTCCTGGAACTGAAACTCATTTCTAAGTTTCATTGGTTATGTCGTACCAACCAAATCTTTGAAGCAGTTATGTAACTAAGAAACAGTCTATTGATTGTCACACAAAGCTGGACAGAGCATAGTGGGTGGCTTGGGAGGAGAGTAGTTTGGCACCCATCCAAACCAATGTCCCTAACTATTCAATGTTTGTAGCTGTGAAGCTGGGCTGTTCCAGGAGGGTAAAGAGAAAGGACCCTTGGGGACAGTGTGAGCCAGCTCTGCTCTCTGTTCTCCATGGCAGTTCAGCTCTGCCCCAAACCTGCATCACCCACCCAGCAAAACTGAAGCTCTGGAAGAAACTGAAAATCACTCTCCTTAGAATGCAGTGTGGTGACTGTCTTTGGGCTGTTCACCCCAATCCAGTGGATTCCTTCAGAAGCAGACATTGAGATGAAGATTTGAGCACAAAGAGTTGATTTGGGAGGTGATCCCAGGGAGCCCTGGGAGGGGTGTTGGGAACTGAGATAAGGAAAGCGAGGAGGCCAGTTCTTGACAGGGTGCTGCTGTAGGCAACTGGGGCTTCATCCCCCAGAGACCTCTAGGACACTGCATTGGGGTCACCCAAAGTGGTCCCTGTCCCCAAAGGGAAAGGAAGCTGAGGTATTTATCCACCAATTCATTGATTAACAGCTGTTCTTGAGGCATCAATTCCCTGACATTTCAAACTTAGCCCATTCCTATAGTCAAAGAAATCCCTCAAGTTCTTACAGGGAAAATCTATCTGTGCATTTGGGAGGTGAGCCTAAGGTGTAGGGAAAGGCACCAGCCATGTTCTCCACACACCCTGTGCTCCCTGGGAGGGTTCTGGGAAGTGTGCATTCTCTATCTCAGTTCTTTGGCAGAGGCATTTTGTGTCCTTTGCAATCTGCTGCCCTAAGAGGCCACCCAGCTGGTCCATCCTCTATCATCTCTGGGGCTGATAGAAATAGACTTTAAATCAAAAAAGGTTACAGTAATCAAAAAAGGTCATTATAGGGGCTGGGCCTTTGGCTGAGTGGTTAAGTTCACATGCTCCACTTCAGGGGCCCAGGGCTTCACTGGTTCGGATCCTGGGTGTGGACCTAGTACTGCTCGTCAGGCCGTGCTGAGGCATCGTCCCACATAGCAGAACCAGAAGGACCTACAACTAGAATATACAACTATGTACTGGGGGGCTTTGGGGAGATGAAGAAGAGAGGAAAAATAACGATTGGCAACAGATGTTAGCTCAGGGCCAATCTTTAAAAAAAAAGATCATTATATATTAATAAAATGTTCAATATGGCATGAAGATATAGCAGTTATAAACATTGCGTACATAATAGTGACCATCAAAATATATAAAGCTAACACTGACAGAATTGAAGGGTGAAATAAATAGTTCTACAGTAATAGTTGGACATTTTAATATCCCACTCTCAATAATGGATCGGTATATACATACCATGGAATAGTATTCAATCTTAAAAGGATAGGAAATTCTGACACATGCTAAAACATGGGTGAACCTTGAAGACATTATTCTGAGTGAAATAAGCCAGTCAAAAAGACAAATATTATATGATTCTGTTTATATGAGACACCTAGAATAGTCAAATTCATAAAGACAGAAAGTAGAATGGTGGTTTCCAGGGGTTGGGGGAGGGGGGAATGGAGAGTTATTGTTTAATGGGTACAGTTTCAGTTTTGCAAAATGAAGGTTTCTGGAGATAGATGGTGGTGATGGCTGCACAATATGAATGTACTTACTGCCACTGCACTGTACACTGAAAAATGCTTAATATGGTACATTTTATGTTTGCATATTTTACAATAAAATGTGTTATTAAAAAAATGTCTCCAAAGTTTTTAAGTCCACTTAAAGACATACGAAAATAGGATAGGGCAGTCTGGGGTCATTTAGAAAGAATTCTGTTTGAAAGCAGGAGGTTAATAACTTCTCAAAGTACTTTTTAAATCAAGAGCTTCTGAAATATCTATACGCCTATATCCATATGCTTACTATTTCAACACAATGGCTGCCAAAATAGCAATATACTTATTAAAAATTTTGCCAGAAATAGATGTTGGTTAAAAATTTTTAGTTTTTAAAAATAATACCAGATATAACATCATCCTTTTAGGGAGAAAAGGGAATCAGCTGTTACACTGAGCTGACTTTTCTAGAAATACGTGGCCAAACTTCCAGATAAATGGCGGCTGCTCCAAAACATGGTGTGGAGGGTGAGGGAGTGGTGAGAAAGGCTTAAAAAGTAAACAGGAGGGGCCAGCCTGGGGTGTAGTGGCTAAGTTCACATGCTCCACTTTCGTGGCCTGGGGTTTGTGGGTTTGGATCCTGAGCACAGACCTACACACTGCTCATCAAGCCATGCTGTGGTGGTGTCCCACATACAAAATAAAGGAAGATTGGCACAGATGTTAGCTCAGGGCCAGTCTCCCTCAGCAAAAAGAGGAGGATTGGAAACAGATGTTAGCTCAGGGCCAATCTTCCTCACCAAAAAAAGAAAAGTACTCAGGAGTCTTCCTCTGCTAAATATGGAGAATAAAACTAGAAGTTTGGGGATTTTCTTTGGTGTGTACATAGCACATTTTAGTATTTGAATTATAGAAAATGCTGTTCAGGAGAGAAAGCAGGCCTCTGTTGTTATAACATGAAGGACATTTTAAGAAGCATGTTACATGTGGGGTTTTTCTCTCAAGGTGATGAGGCACCCGGATCACGTGTCATCCAGTGTGTATCTCTGGGCTCATCATGAGAAACTCGTCATCATCGACCAGTCGGTGGCCTTTGTGGGTGGGATCGACCTGGCCTATGGAAGGTGGGATGATGATGAGCACAGACTCACAGACGTGGGCAGTGTGAAGCGTGTCCCCGTGGGACTGTCTCTGGGTTCCCTCACAGTAAGTGAATTTCACCTTTATGGAACTGGCTAAGGGGACGCAATTCATATAAGTAGGTACTCATAGTGTGACTGATTGATTGAATGAGAGGTTGGGATCCCTGGAGGGGCCAAGAACATTGAGTCAAAGATAGACAAAACTAGTTTCAAATACCACTCAGCAAGTCTGTGGCTTTGCATCTCTTAGTCTTGTAAGAAGAGAAAACAGATTCAAAATATCATTTGCTATCTCATAGTCAGCTCCTCTGGTTTCCATTTAAAGATTTATTTCCTATTTGGAAAACCAAAGTTTATAAACAAAAATGTATGGCAAATGGGCTTTAAGTTAAAGAACAACAAACAGCCTTTTACAAGTAGCTGCCAAAGTTTTTGGAATCTTCCTACTTAGAGACGTACAAAAATAGGATAGGTCAGTCTGGAGTCATTTAGGGAATTCTGTTTGAAAGCAAGAGGTTAAGAACTTCTCAAAGTACCTTTCAAATCAAGAGCTGCCAAAATATCTGTATGCCTGTACTTATTATTTCAACTCGAGTGGTTGCCAAAATATGAATACACTTATTAAAAGTTTTGCTGGCCTCCAGCTTATTTTACAGCTGGATATGTTGTGATTTTTCTGGCAGAACAGAGATTTGGTAAATAGGTAACAGGGGACATAATCGACAGAAAAAGCTTTGCTCACTTAATGTTTATCAGAGGGAGTTCAGCAGCTCGACCCAGGGCGAATGTAATTCGTGTAATTATATTCTAGATAAAAAGGTTAATTGGTATGAAATTTCAAGAATGTCACCTACCAAAGGAGGAACTACAATGGAACGCCTGGTATTCCTTTGGTTGTATTTAAACAGGTCACAAGACCCACCCCTGCCCTGTGGCTGACCTCACACATTATTAGGGAGCCTCCATCATGTGTAAATTTTACACCTCAGCTCAACTGGAATGAAAGGGCCACATTGCGGAGTATCTTATGCAGTGTCTTTTTTTAATTTTCTTAATGATTTTCTCAGGCTGAAACAATGGAATCTCTGGAATCTTTAACACTCAAAGATAAAAGTGAATCTAATAAAAATGTGCCCATCCTGAAGAATGGTGATGATATGGATTCAAAACTGAAAGGAATAGGAAAGCCCAGAAAGTTCTCCAAATTTAGCCTCTACAGGCAGCTCCACAGGCACCACCTGCGCAACGTGGACAGCATCAGCAGCGTCGACAGCACCTCCAGTGAGTTATCGTCTTTGCTGGAACTTATCCTGACTGCACTCTGTTCCTCCATAGCCACACACTATATACCTGTTTTTAAAACCCGTCTTTCTATAATGGAGTAAAACGAGCCGTGCTGAAAGGGCGCTATATCGTCCTATTCAATAGCATGCCAGTCCATGGCTTCCTTTGCCCCATTTTGAACAGATTTATTGTTTCGTTCACACAAGTAGTCATAACCACAATTCATGCTTCTGACAGTAGCAGAATGACTAAGCAGTTCTAAAATAATTCCAAGTTATAAAGGAAAAAGAAAAGTATTAGGGGTACTTTATACACTTTTCATAGAAGGAATTTCATTTCTCTTCCTATCCAGAAATACATCAAGCTTTTATCCTCAAACAGCAGATTTTCTACATCTTGTAAATTTACTGTTCTTTTCAACTTTGTCTTAAAGCTCTGCAGTTTTCTGTTGCACAGAATTTGTGACTGATTTCATAGACTTGCCTAGTTTTAAAAATGTTTGAACCTGCTTTTCAGTTTAGAAAACTTGACATGTAATACGTCTGTGTAAAAAAAGCACTCTCAACTTTCTCCAGGTTATTGTAATCACTGTAGAAGTCGTCAGAGTTTAATCCATGGTTTAAAACCCCATTTGAAACTCTTTCGCTCTTCCAGTGAGTCTGAGCAGGGGCCCTCTGGTCCCGACGTTGGTAAGTGGCTGTGAAGCAGCTGAACCCCCTCAGGCTTCAGCTTTTGCTGCTTGAGCAGAGTGAATGTGTTTCCGGACTGGCTTTCTGTTCGCACAGTTTTCACACCACGTGTATTATTAGAAATTGTAATCTCATAAGCTTTTGTAAGAAGAACTAGGTACTTGAATAATTTAATCAGGGCCTGAAATGTGGTGGGAATGAAGAGGAATTTGGCAACAGATCAGATACAGGGACAAGTCATCCTGGTCGTCAGCAGCAGCCATAGTGAAATCGTAGGCCAGCGTTTATTGCGTGCAGTCTGCCCATCACTGCCCCGAGCCCTGTGGTGCTTGGAGGTAACGGTGTTATCTCTGTTTTACAGACGAGGAAACTCAGGGGTGGAGATGATAAGTGAATTGCCTGGTGGGTTCCAGTTTATTAGCCTCCCACAGCTCATGATTCAGATTTGTGATTTAGCAGAAATGCAGATTACTGCATCACGACATTTTAGCTAAATTCCCAAGGCCACTGTCTAGGAGATGACTGAGTTAGAGCCCAGCTGACATGGCTGGATGTGAGTCACTTGTGGCAGGAGATAACTGAACTTAATAGATTAAGGGGGACTTGAGCAGTGAGTCTCAGCGTTCTTTAGTCTGGGAACCCTGCATTTTTTAAACTGGTTAGCTATGTATAATGAACTGAAGCTTCAATGTAACTGTTAAATAAACGTGTATGTTATAAATTGTAACAGATTGATATACATTTAAAAAATGGAGAATAGCGTATATGGGGAGATGTTCATTTAAAAAGTGGAAAATAGCGTATATGGGGAGACATTTTATTTATTTAGCATTACAGCTAGTACTTGATGCATATGTGGATTCAGGGACAACTCAGAGTAACTCCTGTGCTTGACAGAGCTTAACGCCCTCAGACAGGGAACTGGAGGCCCCTGGGAAGTTAAAAGAGCCAGGTCAGGGGCAGATAGTAAAGGTAAAGAGCTGGAAAGAGGTCCAGATAGTGCTTTTAATTCCAGTGTGTGTTGCTTTAGGACTAAAGTTGAAAACGAGATGGAGGAACGAGGTTGCCGAACCATGAAGGTGAGGGGTCTGAATTTTGACTGAGTGGTTGTGTTGCTGACAAGAGGATTGGGGCAAGCGGAAAAGAAGAGCAAGCCAGGTGCTGAATACATTAAGTAACTCAGGCCAGCATCAGGCTGAGAGGGGTGACACCCATGATGGTGATCTGAGGATACCGATGTGGGTGGTTTTCAGGGACTACTGGAAACTCCTCCCTAATAAACTGGACACATGTCCAGGGCAGCATTGTTTATTGACAGAGAGAGAGAAAAAGTAAACAATCTGAACATCCAAGAGGAGGGGAGTAGTGAAGAACATAATGAGTGGTTCATCCTCCTTTTGGAATTGTGCAATCATTAAACGCTGTAAGTGGGGATACAAGAATAAATGTATATGATTTGTTTGTTTCATTAAATAAGTACTTATTGAGCTCTTAAATATGCCCCTCACTGTTCTAGGTACTGGGATTATAGTGAACGAAACAAATGAAATTCAGTTAACTAGTTGGAGGGTAAGGATGGGAATTGTTTATACAAATAGATCATCAAACCATGTATCAGGTGGTGAAAATGATCATGGAGAACAACGAGCAGGGGAAGGGGGAAGGGCAGAGGGTAGGAGTTACTATGTTCTATCAAGTAGTCAGAGAATGCTTCTCTAATGAGCTGAGTTTTCAACAGAGACCAAAAGGAAGAGAAGAATGAGGATGAGAGGAGGTCGGGCGAGGGTGCTCCAGCCAGGAGGAACAGCAAGAAAAGGTTCTGAGGCGGGAGGGGGTTGGTGTGTTCGGGAATGTGGTGAAGTGGAGTGGGCTCAGGGAGAGTGATAGGGTGAAGTCAGAGAGGGTGAGGTAGGTTACAAAACTTTGGCTTTTATTGAGCGAGATAGGAAGTCATCGGATGGTCTTAAGCAAAGGACCCACAAGGTCTGACTTACAATTTTACAGGCTCATTCTTCAGAGCAGATCAGGTGGCAAGTAGTGACCAGACAGGTACTAAACACATCTGGAGGTGGAGCTGACAGTGCTGGCTGATGCCCTGGAGGTGGGATGTGAGACAGAGGACTCTTTCCCTTAACTTTGTGAAGTTGCAAATCTAATTTTTTAGTATGAAATCAAATTACTTTACTTTAAAAGGGAAGCGAAAGGATAGCTGAGTCCTTCTGGAGCAGTGCTTTGCAAAGTCAGTTCCTGGGACCCTGGTGTTTCTCAGGGGCTCTGAGGAGGATACAGAGTAGGTGGCCCTGGACCCTCTCACCTCTATTGGTACCTGCTTCAACCAGAACAATCCCTCTTGTAGTGTTTTATGTATTGGAGTTCCATGTGAATTTGTGATGAAAAGAAAAAGTAAGTTTCTACTATTAATTATAAAGGAAGTTTAAAGAGCACAGCCTTATATTTAAATCATGTAATGATTTCGACTGATATTGTCTTATAAGACTTGAACTCCAAATTAAGCATAGAGCGACTCTTCCTTAGAAATGTGAAACTGAATGTTTGCTTGAGTAGCTTTCCTGAGGACATGACCTGGGCTAGCTTCTCTGCGGGGTCAGTTTCACTTGCGTGCAGGAGGCGACGGTGCCCTGGGCTCCTGGTGAACCTCACTGGTGATGTACAGAACTTGGTCTGGAGTGTGCGTGCAAGATCACTATGGGTTTTTGAGTAGAAAAACTGCCCTCAAATCAGTTCATCATAAATGTGGTTGATGACATGATAGATTTCTATAGTCTATATTTTAATTCAAAATCACTCAGCAAGCTTCACATTTTTTTTCTTTCAAAATTACATTGCAAGAGGGAGAATTTCAAATTCACATTGCTTTGCTTGATACTATGTTATTTTAAAAAGGTTGAATTTTCCTCCTCTCATATTCAGCGATGGTTTGCTGATCTTTTCCTTTGAAGCAAGATTAAATAGATGGCTGAGGGGGAAATCATTTTTTGGCAGTTTAGTCGAGACAAATGTTTCAAACTTAGATATTAATCATACGGGATAATGAATAGTAGGTGAAGTCATTTCTAAACTGTGTTCTCAGGGATGCAATCGTATAAGACATTTTCTGGTGTCAAAGAGTTTGTTATCTGATAGATAAGCATGAGTTTTAATATTTTACTAACCTATTGCCTTAGCAATTAATCAGGGGGAGATACCCCTACGGGCAAGAGTTGTCAGTGAAGCTGCCTCCACAACTGTAAACTCTGATCCACAACTCCAAAATCCAAATAGTTTCAAAAACCAAAAGATTTTTTCAAATATAACTCATTGAGGACCTGTTTTGGAACTGGCCTTGAATATAGGCAGAAATTCAATGGGTAGAGACTAAGAAGGGAGAAAAACAGACATTCTGGGTAGATGTTATATCTTAAGGCCCAGGTATGGGAAATGTCAGATGTATTTATTTCAGCATCTCACACGTAGGTGTGGAATGTGGTAAATACATAGAGGTCTCTCATCCCTTATACAAAATCCTGGGGGTCAGATATGTTTCAGAAATTAGAACATTCTGGATTTTAGGAAGATAATACAATACCTATCCTCTATATTATGTTATATTCCTTCCAGGATTCAGGAAATACCCTGTACGTAAGTCATTTATATTTATGCATTACCCAGTGCGATAAAGATAATAACCTCTTGTCAGTTCCGGTCAGGTTTTGCTAACAAATGAGCTGTGAGAAAACATTTAGATTTTCAGAGCTTTTGGGCTTGGAATTGTGGTTAAGGGTTAGTTCATTTGTGTAGATTGGGCTGGTGGAATATATCTGTACCAATATATGAAGGGCCTTGAAAGTCAGGCTGAGACATTGATCTTCATGCGCTAAATGTTGGAGAGTCCCTGGGAGGTGGCGGTGGGATTTGGAGGGGATGGACATGGGGGGATGGGGTGATTAAAGATGGTGTTTTACTAAGTTTCACTAGAAACACAGAGACTGGCTTGTTCCAGTGGGCCCAAGAATGAAGTGGATGGGAGAAACTTTTTCTAAAGAAAGAATCAGCAGAATTTCAATAGCATTTGGGAAGTGGTGATGGGGAGGTAGGTAGAGAAAACAGTGAAGAAAAGAGAGGAGCCAAAGGTAATTCTGAGGTTTGAGCTTGAGTGACTAGGAAGAGAAAGCAGAAATCTCCAGGGAAGACTTGATTTTGTGGGGATGATAATGATTCTAGTGACTTTAAAGTTCTGGTGGGACAATTAGGTAGACAAGGTCAGATGAGGCGTGGAAGTGGCTGTAGATCTGAGGCCCAAAAGAAAAGCCAGGGCATAAGGGGTACATTGAGGAGAAAGTTGGAGAAAACGTTGTTAGGGAGGAGGAGCTAGGAAAGAAGATCAAGAAGGATGGGTTGGAGTAATGGTGGGGGAATGCAGTCTTGGAGGCCAGAAGAAGAGGAAAAAAGGACTAGCAAAGCCAGAGACACTGGGGGAAGGGCAGGAAGACACCCTTTCCATGAACTTTAGCTGCCAGAGTCTGGGTCACTGATGCGTGAGGATTGTGGAAAATTGATGTGAAAGACCTGGGCCGAAAGACAACGAAGAACAATTATGAAATCAATTGAGAGCCAGGTACAGACCAGTGAGAACCCCTCTGATCAGCATTGCCGCTGGGAAAAGTTCTCTCTCCCTGCTCACAGTGCAGTTCCGATCAAGCCATTGTGGTAACCTGGAGTATTCGGCTCTGTTGCCTTCCTATTTCATTTCTTCTGAGGAGGACCCTGATTTATTTCAATTAGGGTAGGCCCTGACTAAAAACAAAAACAAATTTGAATTATGAACAGGTCGAATTCAATTAGTGCCAAGCTAATTTTTAAGACTAAGAATTTGCTTTGTTTTGTTTTTCTTGTCATAACTGATTATTAGGTGAAAGTGAATTTTTGAACAAGTGTATGTGTCTATGTGTAAAGTTTAGCTTAGAATTGCTAAATTGATGAAAACAAATTACGTATATTTATTTATTTGAATTTGACCCATTATTTATCTCATCCTTTTTTTTAAAAAAAATTGTTTTTTCTTTCTTTTTCTTTTTTTTTAAAAACCAAGTGCCGTTCTTACTATAAAGAGCCCATAGGTGAGCGCACAGACCTGCGGGCGCCTTGGCCTCAGTCCCTTCGAGTAGGAAAATAAAGCCCTGGGAGCTGTCAATAGATTATGATTTTAATGTTACTTAGCTTTGTTAATCTTTAGCGCTTTAAGGCAGTTTTCTTTCATAGAAAATTGCAATAAGCTTTGAAGGTTAATTATTAAGTTTGAGGTAGAATATTAGCCATGTATGTGGTGATTATTTAAAAACTTTTGCTCTGCAAATACTCATTGAGTGCCTGCTGAATGCCAGGAGCTACGTCAGGCCGTGTGGGGAGCCTCTTGACTGCTAGGGGACAGGGAGGGAGCATCCTTACACAATCGTATCACAGAGTCAGAGGCACTGGCTTGTGCAACTGTGAATGGTTCTACAACACTATAGTGACTGCCTCTCCCTACTGGGACCTGGGAGGTCTCTCTAGCGCAGGTGACAGCTAATTTGGCTCTTGACGAATGATGAGGAGTTCAGGCTGAGAGGGAGGGAAGAGCATTCCAGGCAGAAGGAAAAATGTGCCAAGTGCGCGGAGACATGACAGACCAGGCCTGTCAAAATGCAGTGAGAAATGTGGTCCGCATGGGGCCTGGGTTGTGTGGGGGAAAACAAGGCTAGAAAGAGAGATTGGCACCAGTTAGGGAAGAGCCTTATATGGACACTAGGCCCTTAGGATTTGACCCCCTGTGGGCAGTAGGAGATCCAGGAAGCCTTTTAAGCAAGGAGTCTGCATTTTAGAAAGACAGTTCTGGCACAGTGTGGTGGTAAGGGGACCAGTCTGGTACTCTCATGGGCTTCTGCACGTGGTACCGTTTAGTCATTCAACAAATATTCCTGCATCCAGTGTCTATTTGTTAAGTGCTGCTTTTGTGCCAGGCGCTGCGTTTGTGATTGTAGATCTGCTAGTCTTCCTGCTTAGCTGTCTTTTAGTCAGCATATCCCGTAAACGTACAAACTAAGTTGAAGTATTTACCCGTAAGTATAATGGTCCCAGCAAAGCTCTTTGTGAAATGTTGTGGTAGGTTGCTGCTTCTGCGCCTATGTGATCATGAGCTTCTGTCTGTTTTTGAGATATTTTTTATTGATGTCATTTATGATTTTAGGAATATAGAATATTAGAGCCCAGAAGGTCTTACATGTCATCTAGGCCAAATTCCCGCTTTCACTCGGAAAGGATTTCTGACCCAAAAAGTTGAAGCTCAGTCTCACTGGGCTAGTCAATCCCAGGGCTGGAACATGGGCTGTCTACAAATTTGAGATTTTTGGCTTTTGAGATGCAGAAGACAGAACTCTGTATTAGGTGTGCACCATATTGGCTGGGGAAAGAGAAGGGCCTGACTTCTTTAGGGCCTCTCCATCTCCTGTATCTCTCCCTGATCCTGCTTTCCTGCTCTCTCAGAGTCCCTCCTAGCGAGTCCTTTATTCACGGTTCACCCTGTGATCCGTTCTTCCCGTGCTCTGCTAAATGGTGAGAATAAGAATGTTAAATTTCATTGTCAAGTGATGACCCTAGTGATACCTCAACCACACACTAATAATAAACTCGTGAGGGTTGTGAAACCTTGCCAGCCCACAGCCTCAGATGGAATGAAACATGCTGCCCTCGTTATGCGTCCTAAGAAGAAAAGTTGAGAAGTCCGTAGGTGTTGACTATTTGAGAGTTAGAACTCCCTCTTTGGGCCCTTCTGAACCACAGTCTCTGAGCGGGTCTTGCTGCGTTCGCAGACACTGGCTCCATCCGCAGTTTACAGACGGGAGTGGGAGAGCTCCATGGGGAAACCAGATTCTGGCATGGAAAGGACTACTGCAATTTTGTCTTCAAAGACTGGGTTCAACTTGATAAACCCTTTGCCGGTGAGTACCGTCGTGGTGGGAGGCTGCTGATATTTTGTCTTTCACTTGTCAGCATCTTAAGTATGCACGTGCATGATCTAATATCTTTTGAATATTTAATAAAACTTTAGAGACTATGACTCAGTCATATACTCAAGGACTTTCCCTTGTAGTTATAGTAATAAAAGAACATGAAATAGACTTTACTTGTTTGAAACCTCTGGGTTTCATATAGGCATATTTTTGGGGTCATAATCTGTAATTCTCCAAAAGGTGGTACCCTTCCTTTGATCATCTCCTTTTCTGCTTATCATCTTCATCTTCCAGCATTAAAATGACACATTTTCAGATTATCACTGGGCTTATATGTCTAAGAGGAGATAGAGATGGCACTGCATACATAGCCTGATGTTATTTCAACAGGATGAAAAAGAAAAATGATATCAAGTACAAAGCCTTAGATAATTGGCCCCAGCTCACGTCTCACCTGGCCTGGTGATTATCTCACACTCAGTGAAATGGAAGCATATGTGGGGGAGGCGTGTGGAGGGCTGTGTTCCTCATGTGAGATCTGTGTTTCCCTTGGCTGTAAAGGTATCGTTCCACCCAAGCCAAGAAGTATACACAGAGTGGACATTCCCACATTTCCTTTTGTATGTCATAGTTGGGGTCAAATGGCTTCTGTCCCTGTTAGTGATGATCCCCGCCTGGTGTACCTGGGCAGATTTCATCGACAGGTACTCCACCCCCCGGATGCCATGGCATGACATTGCTTCTGTGGTCCATGGAAAGGCGGCTCGTGATGTGGCACGTCACTTTATCCAGCGCTGGAACTTCACGAAGGTACATGGATGGTTTTATCATGGTTCGGTCCACATGAAGAGAGACAGGCCTGGTAGAGGACAGACCCAGAGGGTTAACAAGAAGGGGCTGTGGTGGTCACAGCTGGTGCCACCGATCTCTGTTGGGTAACTGGTTGTCAGAGCGCCCAGGCCTCTGGGCAAAAGCAAAAGAAAACGTTTATGAACTTTCACACCACGGACAATTCAGAGCACTGAGGGATAGATGCTACGATCGGGGCCTGTGGGTTTAACCCTTGAGATATCTGGGATGCTCAGTGTTGGTTAAGCTGGCCTGGGCCAATAGTTGCGTGGAAGGCGATTGTAGTGGGAGAGAGCTGTTTAGACGAGAGAGCCCGAGCTTTCGAGTCCTTCCAGTCCTGGCACTGCACTGGGTTCATATTGATGCAGGCTTCTGGGAGGTGATTCTGAGCAAAGTGAGCAGTGTGAGAAGATGGAGCCATTTTTCTTTTCTCCAGATTGTGTCTTCTATTTAGTACGCCTTCATGACTCGTGAGAATTTGACCTAACATTCTTAAGTTGAGTACCTATCATCCAGATGTTAGAAGGTTCTATTTTATTTACTGGAAATGATGGTGAGCTTTTTTCTCCCTGATAATTTGGAGAAAGGATTTAGTTTTATCAACGACTTACAGTCTCACCTTTTTTTTCATTTACATAACATTATAGACATTTAGTGGAAGCTCTTAGAAATAATGGAAATATTTTTAACAAAAATTTAGAGAGGATGAATGAATAAACAAAGAGATACTACTTTTAACCTACTACCCTGACAAAGATGAAAAAAACTGCTAATGCCTGCAATTGGGTTGGGATTTTTGATGCTCTTATATGCTGCTTCTGGGAGGATAAATTGGCACAATACCAAAAAGCTTTTTAAAAAGTATACAACCTTTGACTCAGAAGATCTGTTTTGGGTATTTAAGCTAAAGAAGTAATCCCATAAGGTAATTTCTTTTGATATTGCAACTAATAATTCAAATAAAATGAGAAATAACTGAAAAACTCAATAGGAATTTATTAAACAAATTATGATTCTTCCATGCCATTTTACTATGAAGTTATTAAAAAATAATACATAAGGCTATATTGCTGTGGCAAGATATCTACAATATAGTGAAAATCAGTTTACAAAATAATCCCATTTTTGCAATTATATAACTCTAAATTATATTTGTTTTCTTTAAAAATATAAAGCAAAGCATGCCCACTAATAGAAAGAAAAAAATAATCTATTACCTCTTCGCCTAGAAATATCCACTGTTAACCTTTTTCTTTTTCAAATGAGCCTGAATTTCTTTTATAATCACAAAGTAGGAAAGAATGGAACTGTTTTCTCCTTTGGGTCTTCTTTATCTGTTTTTCTCTATTTTAGATTATGAAATCAAAATATCGGTCCCTTTCTTATCCTTTTCTGCTTCCAAAATCTCAAACGACAGCCCATGAGTGGAAATACCAAGTGCCCGGGTCTGTCCATGCTAACGTACAGGTGAGTCTGGCTTTTCTTTCTCACAAAGTGCTACTGGGTAACATTTTATTCTTGTTGGACTAAGGGCCTATTACATTGGCTTCAGATTTTTCCATAAGGACAATTCCAAAGCAGACCTGAATAGACCTTTTAAAATTTAGTATTGTATTTCCTATTTAAAATGTATTCAATTTATCCTTTTTAAAAAACTCCTTTATAAATATAATAAATGCACGTCCTTAGAAAAAGCCAGTCAAGGACAGGCTTGTCCTGTAATTCCTTCTAGAGTGACCCTAGCAACACAACACACAGTAAACCTGGAACTGATGTTAGTCAAGCACCAGGAATGTGGCTGAAACTTAGCATCTAGGAAGCTGGTTATAGTTCAATCTAATTTTAGTTCCTAATTAACCAAATGCCTTTTAGAGGCTCTTTTAATAGAATAACGAATTTGCTTAATAGAGTCACAGAATTCTCCCACATCCAGTCCAACCATCGCAAATTACAAATAAGAAAATTAAGACCTCGTGGGGCGGTGGGACTTGTCCAGGGTCACGTAGCTGGTTGTTGATAGAGGTGGAGCTTGAAATCCTAGCCTACTCCATTGTTACCCAATCTGCTCCCTCTACCAACTGCAGATCAAATATCTTGAGATCGTGCAGGACAGAACTAGGATGGACCACCTTTGGCATTGCCTTTTGTTCAAAGTCATTGGCGTCAGCATCAAAAGTATGGTTTAGGTAAACCTCCAGTAGTCTGCTACTGGCATCACTAATATGGATTTATATAATTTGGACATGGATTCTAATGAATATGATTATATAAATGAATGCCTAAATCAATTACTTTGTACTATGTTCAGCTAGAGGTGTGTATACTTAAGAAGTAAAAAGATATTTCAGACCATAGATCAAATAATGGAACAATCAATAAGGTAAACCACTTGAGAGACATACCTCTAGCAAATACTTAGTCATCCCAGGCTACAGGAGACAACTGAGTTAAACGGAGAGGCGCAGATAAATATGCCTTCATACGCAAGTTAATGAATATTTTATGAACCTGTCTAATTTTATTCTACTTGGAGGGAAATACTATCCGTGCTGTAAGGTAAACTAGTCTTGATATTAAGAAAACAAGGGAATTTAATTTAACATTTGAGATGTCATTAAAATTGACTCAGTGATCAACTTATCAAAATTAGCAGATGCTAATTAAGCATCTTTTGAAATGGTATTGCTGGGAATTGTGTATTGTTATGATCAGCAAATGATGTTTTATCCCGGTGTTGTGTATACATACGTCTTCTAATGCCTGTTGGTAAAGCCTGTTTTGTATATTCTCCTCCTGCCACCCTGCTAAGGCAGACAGATACTCTGTATATCTACTCTACAAAATACCACCCTTGATTCACTTTCTCTGCATCGCTGGATGCTGTGTTGGAGATGGGGCTGGATCAGTGATCCCTTCTGATATGCTCTTATGTTCATTGCTTGATATGTTCAGGTAGCCCGGACTCAGGAACCTACAAACCCAATTGATTTGAAAGGAAGTTTAGCAAGACTCAGTCAACTTATGTTTATTAAGTGCCATCTGTTTGCACAGTGAAGTCATCAGTGCACACTTGGACGCTGAGGAGGCAGGCAGAAAAGGAGTTCTCTGCCTCTGGAAGCATAGTTAGCTGGGAGAGAGAAAGCTGTGAGGTTAATGAGTCCGGCTAACTGAGCAAGGTGTGGTCTAGGAGTAGATGCCAGTGTGAAAGTGCGGGCCAGCATGCAGTGGGAGTTTGGCAAATGAGAGGGAGAGAACTGAGTGTCCCCTCCAAGGGAGAAGGCTGCCTGCTCTGATGATGGTAGAACAGACTGCAGCAAACCATTTGCTCTCAAAGAGGTGGTGGATGAGGTTTAGCCGGCATGAAGCCAGATTGGGCCTGCCCTGGAGTGCGACCTGGTTCATTTAGACCTGATCCTGTGACATTAGTGAGCTCTGGACGTTTGTGTCTCATGCAGGAAGAAGCATGATACAGGAATGTTTTATGAAGATTAACCTAGAGAGTTTCCCAAACTGGGTTTTGCCCGTGAAATGCTAGTAGCTATTCCACAAAAAAGATTTCCAAGGACAGATAGGTTTTTGCAGATTTTTTAGATACAGGGTTTCTTAGTGCCTTTCTTAGGCTGATGGATATCAGGAATCACTAAGAGTGAATATGCTATGTGAATTTCCCAAGCCTGATTGACCGAGGATCTCTCATTTTGTTGCTTGTCTGTTTCCATCTCTCTGAACAAACATACTTTGGGACCAAAGTTTATACATATGAAGAACTTTTAGACTAGAAAGAGAACGAAAGCAAGGAGACACGTAAATAGGCTGTTACAGGGATTCTGGAGTATGCTAATTATATATTTGTAAATTAGTATTCTTTTTCTTAAAGAGGACTCCCCCGCAACGTTTAAAGGTTAGACCTCACAAAACCTGGGGCCCTGCCAGTTGCCAGTAGCTGTTTTTCTAGAACTGCCAAAATAACTCCAGTTGTGAAAACAAGCGGTCACAGCCAGACAGTGCATCTTTTTGAAGACAGGAATGTCTGAGATGACTAGAAGCTAAAAGAAAAGAAATTACCCTGCTCCATTTCTCCTTTTCCGTAAAGTTCTGACCTCAGTATTGTTTCGCTTCACATTATTTACTGGCTTGAAACATTATTCATCTTGTTCCAGACGTTATTGTTTTCAAGTCATGAGCATTCAGTGTTTAGAGGGCCAAAGCAGTTGTCTAGCCCAGTTCCTGGTTTTCCAGAGAATCCAGAAGGAAGTGGGGAGATAGGACCTGGCTGTGTAGTAGGCTACTCAATTTTTAAAGGGCTTATTGTCAAATTTTCAAATCTTTCACTCTCTCAGCTATCATGTGGCAGTAGCCAAATTGGTTGAGAAATTTAATAACGTTCTTCCTTAAGTTTATTCCTTTTAACATAGATTTTAACAGAGTTTTTAACATAGTTTATTGTTCATAACATAGAGACCACAGCCTAATTAACTGAAAAGGAGCAATACAATGTAGCAAGGGGAAGAGGCAGAGTCCATGTTCAAATCCCAGCTTTGCTACATACTAGCTGTGTGACCTTGAGAAAATTGCTTCACCCCTCTTTGTGCATTTCCTTCATCTATAAGGCTGGGATTATAATAGTATCTATCTCATAGCATTGTTGTGATGGTTAAATAAATGAATCCATTCAAATCACTTAGAAGAGTACACTAGTTTGAATTATATCCATATTAGCTACAACCTTCAAGCTTTCCCTAGTGTTTTCAAAAGCTTGCAACCAAGAAGTTGACATTTCTCTGGATGGGTCACCAGGCTAGTTCAACCTGCAAAATCTTTATACCACATATTTATTGAGATGATGAGAGAGACCATTTAACATAATAAAGTAATAATAGATAAAATTCACGTTTTTCTTTCATCTGCAGAAGAGAAACCAATTATTTGATTTTTTCAAAGCAAAAATATTGGGCCCAATCGTCCTTGGGCACACACTGCTGGTAATTCCACCCCAGCCATGATGCCCAGCTCTTGCAGGAGGTTGACACAGCTAGCCAAGGAGACTGGGGCTCTGGCTGGCAGAGTGGAGGCCTGCCCCCACCAATAAGAATTTCTGCTTCTAAAGAAGTCATCCAAACTTGAGAGCTGACCTCAGCAGCTTCCACCGACACTTTTAAAATAATCTTGCTTGTTTCCCCTCAGTGCTGGGCGTTCTCAGAAGCCTGCCAAGAGCACTCCGAGGAGACATAGCAGAAGAAAGGCGTGGGGTTGGGGGTCGGAGGGAAGAGGGTTCGGAAACTGTCTATGCAGAGTATATAAAAGAACTTGTTTTCTCCCTGAAAAGACCAAACTAGATTCCTAAATGCTATCGTTGCTATTTAAGATAAATGACCAAGACAGAGGACATTTGACATGTCTGTTCAGGTGAAAGAAAATGGCTGATGCCAAATTAGCATCAATATGGAATCAATACACAGGAACAGTCCTTTATATTAAAATGGACAGCTTGTAGTAGAAAAGCCATTCCTTGGACAATCATTCCTGAGAAGCCCTACCAAACTGAGAGAAATAGTTCTACTGGGGTTGTATCTTTGATCTCCTTGTCTATTAAAGAAAACCACATTTACTTCAAATTCAAAAGAGCTGCCCACAGGTGCCTTTGGATTAGTGTCAGTCTCAGGATCCACAAACAGAAGTCTCTCCCCATCACCATCTCTTGATTTAACATCTTGGAGATGGTGCATTTGGCAGCCACAACCCTGGGAACCTGGGCCTCAGGTTTTGCTTGCAATATTACAGCATCACACTGCATCCCAAGGAAAATGACAAGACCAAATGAGAATAACGTAAGCCAGCCCAGCCAGCCCCTTCCCCGACTTTGAGCCAGCAGAGCTGCACAGACAGGTCCTGTCTCCTGGCACACTGTCAGATTTCAGCAGTTCATACCCATTAGCCTTGCTGACTAAACAAGGCCAACCGAGAAGATCTGAGTTTACAGCTAGAGTGGCAGCAGTCTTTCAAGTAAAACTTAAACTTCCATAAGAAGGTAGACCCGTCAGTTTCATAATAAGTGCTCAACACGTTGTTAGCCATTCTTACAGTTCAGCTGTGCTCTTTTTTTAAGCTTAGGTCAACATGCAGAATGTGTATTTTTTCCTTTTTGAAAGAATGTAAAGTCAGGAGACTGGATACTTTCTCCAAAGCTGAGAAATTCTATTTTTGAGCCAAGAGTCAAATGGAGGATGCTTACATTTTTCTTTTCAAATGTTTTCTCTTTCTGCTTCTCCTTCTTCTCCCAAGTACACTTCTCAAAATATATGTGATTCTCATGGGTATATGAATACGTCCAAGCTCACCAGATTATATACAGTAAATACGAGCAGTTTTTTGTATATCAATAAAAAAATAAAATGAGATAAAATATTTTTTAAAACTATGATTCTCTGTGGACAAAATGACTATACTGGCATAGCTCGTTCTGTGTC